TTGAATGCAGTTGAAGTCCCTTTGCTTTGCGCAGACCTTTGGAGGACAACGTTCCATGCTGTTTGTTGCTCATGTTCGGTTGTCCACACCTTCGAAGCACTAGGACCTGCCACCTGCCAACTGGTTCCTCCATGGTGGCTGACCCCCTTTTGTTATTCCAGGCATGTCAAGCGTTCCCTGGCTTGGTCTATACTTTAGCGAGCTTTGTGGGCGTAGAAAGGAGCTTTACAAGAAGCCTTCTAGGGAGCCTAGTAAGGAGCTTTGTAAAAAGCCTTGTGCGGCTTGAGTCAAGAATTGAAGCAAGCTGTTGAAGTCTGCTTTAAATACGAAATTCAAGTTCAACTCTGTCCTTATTGAATTCTGTTTAGATTCTAATATCTGTTTGATACGAGTCCTATTTGGTAAGAACTTATCCCAATATGTTGAACAGAATTCAACGAACAAATCATTGAGAATCTATACTCACAATGAGAGTTTGAGGAGAAACTCCTTTCCAAACATGAGGTTAGTATTTTTGTTTTAGGATAGTTCAATCGGGAAAAAGTAAATCAGAATCCCAATGATATTCTATAATTTAATTCTGAACTCATGTTCCCATGAGTTCGTCTACAATTGATTAGAACATGAGTAGACCTTAATAACGATGGAATCTTGTTTCACATTCCATTTTGAGAATTGAATGGAGTCGATTTGGCAGATGGGACAGAACACAAACAGGAATGATGTGCAACAGGTAGATGTATGTAGATTATACTGAAACACGTTGTCCTTTCAACATGTTCTTCCTGATGCGCAAGCCTAGAACCATGTTCAAGATGTCGACATGCCTCATGCACGCAAAGTTCACAACCGTAGTTGGATAATGCTTCACTTCCGGCAAACATACCTGTGAACGCACTACGAACATGCGGGCAGCAGTGGCTCATCTTGGTTTGAATTCAGATTTCAAGCCCCTTTCAGCCAAGACGCATCCCAACTCCTGCTGGTCGTGCAAGATCTCGGCGCAACGAGAGGCGAGGATTCTTTGAGAAGAATCATCTGAAGCAAAACTCACTTGACTTCCAAACAGAAATGAGAGAATCAGGATTCCTTCAAACTAAACATCTAGAAATCACACGTGTCACAGCGCAGTCATCTCATGTTAGATGTTGGCTGAAAGGATTCGCCTTCCAGGCACCATCAAATCAAGTTGTCCCTGGGCTGCAAGGGGTCCTGTCCAGCGTTTGAAACAAAAGGCCTCTCACCAATTGCGGGTGACGAAGCGGCAAGCACAGGATTGACGCACAACAACGTGAGGAAACGACGCAGAATGCTAGGATCAAACATACCTGCACCAGTGAATGGCTGCTTTGCAACAAGCAGTAAATGATCTGTCGGCCTAAACTGGTGCTTGGTTTCCTGGCTACCGTAAACAAGTCTTCAAGGTGACATTTTCCGTGATCAACGCTAGATTGATTTCATGCCATGCCGGTTTGGTAGTGAACATAAGTACCCTCATCAACCTCTCCAACTGTCTACGGCCAAATGCTCATGTTCCGTGATCAGGCATCACCGTGGGGTCGATGACCAAGCCTATACCAAATGACAATGCTATATCCCTAACATGATCATCATAGCCTTCGCAAGGCAAAACACCTGTCAGTCGAGCATTGAGGCCAGCACCACAGTCCACAAAGACAGGCATCGTGGGCGATCGACCTGCTCAAACAACGAACTGCTCAACCAGTGAGGCTTTCCCTTTTTCTGATCCCAATCGGCCAAATAGCCTCCGCAGCCCCGAGTTTTTCTTTCTTTTTCTTCTCATGTGCGCCCTACTGTGACCCTCCATATCCATATCCATGACAGGTTTCGTCTCTTCTGCTGCTTGTGCTGAAAGTGACCATTTCCGTCTGCCGCATCTCAAGTGGCTCTCCAGTGGTGCCGTGCCGCAGAAACTGCAAGCTCTGCATGGGAAGAACCGCTTTTCGTTTCTGCTGGTCTTCATGGCGTTGCTTTTGAACGCCAAACCAAACCTCTGCATCGGCCGCTCATCCAGATACCTCTCCAGCTCCGCCAGGCCGTAGGCTGTCAGATCACGGGCCTCGGCGCCCACGTGGCCCACGCCCGGAGCCGCTGCGCCAGTTCCGCCACGCAGGCTGTGACCACAGAGCAGAACGCGGAGTCCACGGGCAGTTTTTGAACACATGGCCATGGGTCAAAGGCCAAATCGTACCCCCAGTGAACATCCGATTCAATCCAACCACTAAACTGGGAAGCCTAAAATGGGTGGTGAATTCACCTACCCCAGAATGGGATCCCAAAACCGTTTTGACAACCAGAGCCACATCGCTCTGGCAACTTGAGGCTCCGGTCTCCGCATAGGCCGTATCAGTGCCGTGGTCCCCACATCATGTCACAAGGCCAAGGTCTCTTCTTTCGCGCGTGTGCGCCGTGGTCCTCACATCATGTCACAAGGCTTCAAGGCTTCAAGGTCTCTTCCTTCGCGCGTGTGCGCCACCACCAGAAGTCCCAACAGTTCCTGGCCGCACTGCCCTTGCAAAACGGGTTCCGAAACACCCGGTGGTGGGTCCAGAAATGGTCGTACCTGCGCTGATGAATCATCTCGTTCCTTGGCGCTAGTGGATCCGGGCAGACAGAAACACACATGTCGCTTTCAGTGTATTGACACAGGCACACACCCTCCAATCATGGCAGCTGACAGAAGTTTGGAGGAATACTTTCTGCGTTTGGGAAGCCCCCCGAGTTTGAAAAAGCAAGATCATGTTAGTCATACCACAGAACAGCTGAGGCTCATGGTCAAGTTCCGCGAGATCAGGAAGATCTGCACCAGGATAAGGAAACAAATTCCGGGGATCGTGGCGCAGTGAAGCAGCAAGAAACATACGAGCAAGGGATGACATGCCAGCATCGTCATAGCTCCACTCGGTCCAGCTCGTAAAAGATGCTCTTGGTTGCTGAACAGCGTGCAAAGGCACAAGAACAAGTGGCAGAGCTGGGCTAGCACATCCATTGCCATCAAACAAAGAAACGGCCTGTGATTCCCTTTGCCAATCGGCACATCTAGCAGAATGCAGTAGTGATCAAACTCCTCGATGCAGGTGCCTGTGACTGTGCAGTACTTCGTCCGTAGGCCTTTCAGCACCCAGGTGGAGGAACCTCAAAAGGCGAGCACTGGAAGTATCTATCTCGTTTTTTTATTGCGTGAGGCAAGGCATGCCAGTACGATTGGCTTCCACAAGGGTCTCTAGTGTTGATACGAACAGCTAGCTGTCAGTTAAATCCGCATCAGGGTTGGCAACACAGGTATTAAACATGTTGGCGACTGCGGTGGCGGTGGCAGCAGTGGCAGCAGCAACAAACATGCTTGAAGATCAGGAATCAGCTGCCTAGCAATGACGTCACTTTGTCACCAAGACACGCTGACAATGCACACAAACGCAAGCGGTACGGACAGCAGGAACATGCTGCAACCTGCAGCACAAACTCAAACACAATGCAAATCGTAACGTGCACAATAACAACAGCACAGCTGTGCAATACATATGAGTGCCCTTGCCGAATTCATCGCCTCTCACATTACCAACACTTTCACTGCAAGGTCAATTACAGCCGCACCCGACCTCTTGTCTTGTCAAAATGTATCACCACCCATAGAGTGATCAACCTCTCGCGGAATATGTCTTCGGATCCTTCTGTGCTTCGTGCAACTTTTGCCACAAAGCCAGGAAGCAAACAGGCTCACAAACAAAGAAGTCCGTTCATATGGGCCATGCGCAGTGCTTCCAAAGCCTGGTCTCGTATCCCAGGACTAGCAGATGTTGCTGGTCGAATTGGCCTGGGGCCGAACAAACTTTGGATAGTTGATACAGCCGATACCCAACTTCGGAAGCCAAGTGAATGCTTCACACCATTCGGCTGAGACACAAAGCTGCCTTGGCTTGGGCAAAGAAGCCACAGTCGCCCCCTCTTCTATGAGGCGTACCAGCTCCTGGGGAATCACTGGCTGAACGCTGACTGTGCAATTCTCGGATGAGAGATCTGATTTGGGGTCCCTCTGCACTCTCCCTCCCCCCCCAGCCCCCGTGAATTGCTCAGTCACAGAGAAAGACTTGTGTACTAAAATTATCTTCCCAAAAGGTTTCAAGTCCAGAAACTGTGAAAGGCAGCTTTAAAGGACAGTCACTTTCGGGCAGAACCCTTCCCTCTCATCTGGATTAACATTTGCGGATTGATCAATATGCCGTTCGGCCCCCAATGAGTGTTGGGGGTAACCTTTCCCTTCTGGGAAATATAATCTGTTCAGTGGCTTTCCCCAATGGTCGTCCCATGTAAAGGACCTTTTGATCAACCCCCATTTCTCAGGGAGAACATCGCTCCGTGATGCCGTCGCCATTCGCCACCTCAGCTAAGCGGTCAGGGGGGACTCAGGAAGAAGTTAGACAAATATATGCTGCACTATGCTATTGTAACACACATGTTGGTGCTGCCTTTGCTATTGTTTGTAACACATACTTTGTTTATTTCTTCTTCTTTTTTGCGAGTTTCTAAACAGGAGACTTTGCTTTTGGACATGGGCACCATGCATCCCTTGCACATGGGAGGGATCCACTCAGTTCAGCTCCATTCCAGTATCTGACAGGGGTCACTGGATTTCCCCAAATCAAAGTTGAGCAACTCGCTGGCGGTTCTCATTTCTCTCTGCCATTCTTGGAGGATCCAAGTAGCTCGGACACCTGGATGAACTACAATACTCCGCGAGCCGGAAATAAGGAATCCCCAGAGGAGCCTGCATCTGTGCGCGTCTTACTGGGTCGGAGCACATTGCTACGAGCAAGAATCCTTTGAGTGGTCAACAACTTTGGCTGGCGTTGTTGAGGGTTCCCTTTGTGGATCTTAAAGGCAAACTGAAAGGATCACCACCATTGTAGGATACCCATAGAAAAAAACACACACACACACAACTATCTTAACAGGCATCTGTATACTGGGATCCCACTTGTAGGGCCTCTAAGTTGTGGGGAAATCTCTTGCACAGACCGCGAAACCCGGTTTTCGCAACACTTCCAGTGCGCCACCACCCCCAGCCCTGTACGTCATGTTTGTAAAAAAAATGGGACGCCCTGGTTTGGATGGCCTTCAACAAAATGGTAGGCCAAGAGGAACCCATCACTTGGATTGCCTAATTTTGAAAAAGACACGTTAGACTTAAATCCAGGCATGGTTGATGCGCTAGAAGAGAACCCCCTGGGTTTGAGCCTACCTTGGTGTAGCCAAAAATGCATTCAAACACACAGAGACACACACACACACACATACATACGTACATATCTGCATGTATATGACCATATATGTATAGGGCACGATTCGCTACGTGAGAGAAGCAGCGCTTTGCATTGGAAACGGCTCGTGGGCTGGGTGGTGAGACGTTGAGTCAAGAGCAGTGGATCTGCGGGTCGAACTTGTCTCCAATCGGCCTCTAAAAGCAAGAGATGTCTCTTTGAGGATACAAAGACCATGATTCCTTCTGATTGTCTCACTTCCATGGGCTGGCCAAACGAAGTCCGAGCTTTTTCTTCGCGACGCAAATGGTCCCAGAAAGTAACTCAAGTCCATGAACTCAGGGAATGAGTTGACTCATGCTTCCTAGGTCCTCCAGTAGAGAGGCTAGAATAAGTTGGTACCCACTTTCTTCTTTGTCCATTTCAGTAGGGGACCCAATTTCTGGGGGACCTCGCCAACCAGCCCACGATCTTTGCCGCCGGCCGCGCATTCCGCGGTCGAGGAGCTGTGCCGGGATCCATGCGCAGGAGGATCTGCGCAAAGCCCAGCGCTGAGGGCACCAGGAAGTCAAAACCTGGGCACGCACCAGAGCTATATCCCCTGCTTGGATCAAACAATATATATATATATATATGGTAACATATATAACATGTGTATTCAGATTATGTATATATATATATGTGCCTATGGCCATTTCACACCCCTTTGGGTTCACACCAGAGGCTCATATATGGATGATGCATTCAGCCACATGTGCCCATGGCCAAACAAGGACCCTCTCTCGACAAACATCGAGAAAACGCAGCTGTCTCAAAAAACAGCTGCCACCTGAGCCCAGAAACCCAAGGTCGCCATGGGCATGGCAATAAGCCGCTCATCTCGGGAGCAAAGCCAATGCTCAGCCACCGCCACTGCGGTGGCCATATGGACGAAAACTGGGATGGCTTTGCGAGTGACATAGTCCGGATACATCACCTGGCGCTGATTTGAACATATCCAACCAGCTTCGTTGCTGATGATTGATTTTTTGAACGCATCCCAAGCAGCTTCTTCGCTACTTTCGGCCATGGCCTTAAGGATCTGCAATGAATGCCTTGGCCTTGTCATCATACGTTGGTCAAGGAAGCATGCTGTCTGTCTCTGACACACGCACACCGACATGCACATCTGCAGATCGTACAGACGTCAGAGCTCTTGAAACCAAGTCACCTTGTGCACCAGAAACTGCATCCACTCGCGGTGGCCTTTGGGGCACTCCGACTCGGGGTTCTGGGCCGTTCCGCTCAGGAAGTTCGCAAGGTCCTGGGCCAAAAGCGGAAAGACGAGTCGAAGGCAGGGGAGGTATCATCTGGCTACGGGTCAACTTTTTTCACCACCAAAACAGCCGCAAGTACAAGGTCCTTGGTGCCGTTTGTCAG